GTTGTCGTAGTGTACCACGAGGGAAAATCCATATCTACAGGGTTATGCCAGTCGGGCGAATGATATTAATCCGAAGCAAACCAGCTTCGCTCCTTAGTCACACAACACAATAAGTTGCCATCTGTTTGTCTAATCGTGTCAACAAGTGTTTCCAAAATCAAGCTTAGAAATGGCAGACCGTTGGTTGGAGGGAAAATTTGTTTAGAGTTTTCCCAAGAATTTTGTACATTACGTGATTATAGGCACGAACTGAACTGGAATTACCCAATTGTATTCTGCCAGTGTTCTTATCCTCGATAGTAATCAACTTCTCAACTTGTAACTTAGGAAAAACCACAGTCTGAAAGGTTATTCTTGCCAACTGAAGTCATAACTTTAACCAGAGCAGTTCGTGAACCCAGGAGACAACTGTATATCATCCACTTTTTAAATTGCTTTGCAGAATATACATTAACTGTTAACATTTGATTTACTATGGACAGTTCTAATTCATGTATTTAGATCTAGTATATTGAGCATTAACAGCCATAGATCACACCCTTGAAACTTTTCTGACTGCTTTCCGGTTTCTTTTTGTTTCCAAAAGTACATACAGGTACAACATATTCATAATTTTAATGTGGTTTATTCTTGTTTAATTCAAACTCACAACATATCAGGTGTTTGTAATCTGATATGGGTGCATTCATGCTACACCCAGCTTCTGGAAAAATTTCAAAGCTTTTTCAACTTCAGTCCATGTTCCAAGTCCTCCAGATCTATTAAGTACTTCTCAAACCTTGCTAATATCAACTCTGATTGTGCTTTCTTCACCAGACTGGCTTGTAGATTGTTGCATGCTATAAACACAAACGAGGAAGAGGTTGATTTTTCCCAGATATCTGCAGTTAGATTAAACATTCGAACCAGCTAACAACAAATGAACTGGAAACAACAGCTTGCGCCAGCAAAACATGCTCATATGCACAATTTCCGAAATCTCTACGTAGTAATATTCCAACAAGAACTCGAAAACTACTAGAATACTCTAATGAAACGTTAAACTGACCTATGAAAGAATCACGATGAAATAAATAAACAGAGCTAGTGGTAGGTACTTTCGAAACAAACGAAAAAACTGGTTTTAACAGCAACGAGGACCAAGAGCATGTCAGACGCAAAATTAATGGATAATCTACATTGGGACTACTTGTAAACTAATAGAGGATAAACATAAAGCCAACGTGTGAACGGGCGGTTAGCGAACAGCAATCCAACACGGCCGACTAGCAAGGGCGAAAATGACCTCTAGATGTCTTATCCATGAAATGACTTTGAGCATGCAGGATAACTTTAGTCCCTTTTCGGAGGAGACACTTGTTCTCTGTATAAGAACTGCCTTGCATTCTTATACTGGTGGTCTCCAGAGGCACTGTCAAATTAGTCCG